CTCCTGATAATCTTAAAACTTTCAAAGATAAATCTGTGCAGACGTGGACATCCTACCCTGAGGGTCACTTGCTTGTGACTTAACAAATTCACCAGGAAGAAGTAGAACAGATCACATTGGCCACAAATTCTGAGTACAATGTTACTTACTATGGCTTAAAGTTAGATGACATTTTAACTTGAATAGTGATTGTTAAAAGTTACTCTTTTTTTATACTTCCATTTTGACAAACTTATTGTAAGTGAAATGTCAGTACATGGACATGAAAGTGCAGAAAAAGCACAAATTGTACCTTGCAGCTACTTAACTACAGATCTGGGTGATGCACTATTCAAAGTAAAAAAAATCCAACACAGAATCACAGAAGTTCTGGGAGTGGAAGGGAACTCTTGAGACCACCTGGCTCAACTCCCAGCTCAAGCAAGTCTAGCTGATGCAGGCTGCCCAGGACCATGCCCAGCTGAGTTCTGCATGTCTCCATAGATGGTAACTCCACACTTCTCCAGACAACCTGTGCCAGTGTCTGCTCCTATCTGGAATGGTTATTCCTGAACTGAGCTGTGAATGACAGCCAGCCAGTCTTGACGAGGCTTAGGGAGTTGACCCTAACTATGGCTCACCTAGGTCTCCTTTAATGCAGTCGTGCTTACATCTCTACTCTGCAGCCTTCTGAAGATGCAAAAGGGACAAGTCTGGGACAGTCTTAAAGTTTTACCTTAAGTCTTAACAATTTCATGTGGAACTTCAGCAGTTTGACAGGCTCTAAGAGACAGTTCGACAGCAACCTCAACTGTTCCATGTATGCCCATGACACCAAAAGCAAGAAAGCAAAGATCAGAACTTCGGCCAGAAATGCTGAAAATAGTCAGCTGATCAGGTGCCTTCTCAAATGATGCTCACAGACATTTAAATACATCTCTGTGTTACTTTAAACACACAAGCCTTTTAAAAGTTACTGACACAATTCTTGTGCAAGATTCCCTTCTTTATCCACGTCTTTGGAAGTTTATCAGTACTTTTTAGCTTGCAGATCCAGATTTTGAATTCTAGTACTAAGCATTCTAAAGGAAGTCTAAAAAAAAAAAAAGAGATGACAAAGACTGTGAAAGAAAGCAGTTCCAACTATTCTCAACAAGATGTGGACATGAGCTGCAGGTATTCAGGATGGATCTTTGCAGAAGGAGTACACGAAGAATGTGAACATGCAGAAGCATTTATGCTCCTGTTTATTCAATTACAGAAACTTGAATTCAGTAAGACTAGTTTTAACAAAGCTGCTTGTGCCTTTTTGTGTGGGCATTTTCTGCAACACATTTTCCATTGCTTTTAATATTGCATAAATGAGTCACATCCAAAGAAGGAACAACTTCTACAGCCCTGAATTTAAAAGGCTTGTAACTTTCTTCTGGAGAGGATGTTCTAGATATTCCTTAATGTTCCTATCCTCTCCATCCCTTCATGGGAAAGCAGGCACAGATTTTAAGCCAAATTCACCTATAACACTGCTGTGATTCAGATTTAATGCACAATAAAAGCCATTACCAACTATCTCAAATGAATAATTTCTTCATGGTTATAAATCTTTCAGATGCTTAGCAAGATGCAGTGATAATTCATTCCAGGATTAAGTATGGTTTGCTACGCAGACAACATAAATTATGAGTGATACCCAAATCTAGTTTGTTAATACTTCAAGAGGTGAAGATGACTTAGATCCGTAAAGCAATGCCTAAGGCTGTTAGTGTCCTGGGTTCAGCTGTAACAGTTATTTTTTCTTTTACTTAGTAGCTGGTGCAGTGCTATGTTTTGGCTTTAGTCTGACAACACCACTGATAACACCGATGTTTTTAGTTATTGCTAAGTAATGTTTACCCCAATCAAGGACTTTTCAGTCTCATGCTCTGCCATTGAGGAGGGGCACAGGAACCTTGGAGGAAGCAGAGATAGGACACCTGACCAAACTAGCCAAATGGGTGTCCTATACCACAGCACATCATACCCAGTATATAAACTGGGGAGAGTCACCCAGAAGGCCCAGATTGCTGCTCAGGTCGGGCTGGGTATCAGTTGGCAGGTGGTGAGCGGCTGTATTCTCTTCCCTTGTTATTTCCCTTATCATTATTATTACTGGTGGTGGCAGCAGTGATTTGTGTTATACCTTAGTTACTGGACCGTTCTTATCTCAAGCCGTGGGAGTTACATTCTTTCGATTCTCCTCCCACCCCTCCGGTAGCGGGGAGACAAAGGGAGGGAAGTGAGCGAGCTGTACAGTCATGAGTGGTAGGGTGTCTAGGCCAGTGGGCCCCTCGAGTTCATGCAGTGGCCCTTGGACCAGTCCAGACTGGGCCAGATGTGCTTTACACCACAGCCGGGGAGAATGGTCCTACCTGAAGCCTCTGGCAGAAAGCTCCAGGCAAGACTCGAGCTCAACCCCTCAGCTTTTGGAGCTGGGGTACAGAGGATCTGAGGCTAGCTATATTCCAACTGAAAAAGGGATATTGGCAGCATGTGAAGCGGTTTGAGCTGCTTCAGAAGTGATCGGCACTGAAGCACAGGTCCTCCTAGCACCCCAGTTGCCCGTGCTTGGCTGGATGTTCAAAGGCAAGGTCTCCTCTACACATCATGCAACTAATGCTACATGGAATAAGTGGGCTGCACTAATTACCAACGAGCTCGAACAGGAAATCCCAGTCATCCAGGAATTCTAGAAGTCATCATGGACTGGCCAAAGGGCAAAGAATGGAATGTCACCAGAGGAGGAGGTGATGCATGCTGAAGAGGCCCCACCATATAATAAACTGTCAGAAAGTGAAAAGCAATATGCCTTGTTTACTGATGGGTCCTGCTGTATTGTGGGAAAGCACTGGAAATGGAAGGCAGCTGTATGGAGTCCCCCATGACAAATTGCAGAAACTGCTGCAGGAGAGGGTGAATCGAGCCAGTTTGCCGAGGTGAAAGCCATCCAGCTGGCCCTGGACATTGCTGAACGAGAAAAGGGGGGCAGTACTTTATTTCTATACTGACTGATGGATGGTGGCAAATGCCCTGTGGAGGTGGTTGCAGCAATGGAAGCAGAGCAACTGGCAAACCCATCTGGGCTGCTGCACTGTGGCAAGACATCACTGCCCAGGTGCAGAACCTGGTGGTGAAGGTACGCCGTGTAGATGCTCATGTACCCAAGCATGAAAGAAGCAGGGGAGTGAGCAAGTGGCTGCATGGTTCTGAGTTACTGTGGGCTTAAACCACAACAGTTAGAGAAAACAAAAGCTATGTTGCATTTTATATTTTGAAGTATAGAAAAGAAAGATGAAGTGATGTTGCATAAGTAGCAGAAAGGTACTGGAACTTGCAGACAGCCTAAAAAATGTCCTAGGGTTCATTCCCAGTGCTATCCCACTTTGACATTTCCTGAATTATCTAAATATTTGTGTGAGTGTTACTTCTGAGATTCAGATTGTTCCAGGAAAACAGTCCTGGAAAAAGATAAATTTATTTCAGCAAAATGGCAGGCGTTTTGAAGGTGTATGCTGATTGATGTACTTGCCTGCAAAAATGTAGTGCAGGACACGGTCTGTAAAAGACGGTGGTGGTAGGCTGCATTTCTGTCTCTCGTATCTCATATCGTATCATATACTCCTGCTATGTAGCCATTATCAGAAGATGTTTCCAATAAATATGAAGTAGGGATTGTCTCCATAAACCAGTAAGGGCTTTTGGTATAAAGATACTATGCACCACCCCTTTTGTGCCAGAGTTTGAAGTATCCAGTTATACGGAGAACTAGGTTATACACAAGGACATGTCGCTGCTACACTCCTCCCATGTCCCACTTCCCTTCTACTGCTCCCCTGTGTCTTTTGCTACATGATGCTGCCCCTCTTTTCACAAGGGCTAGATATTCCCGACTGAGTCACCTGAAATTCATGTGCAAGTAGGTCATGGGGAAGACACTGGATCCACTGAAGCCAAGAGATGGCAATGGGAGTTACATTAACCCCTCTGGTCAACAGTGAGGAAAATGAACCCCAGCTGTCCCCTGGCATGCTTCCCATTTCAGGAATGTCCCTCACATGCGTCAGTGCTTATACTATGATGCAGTTTTTGACAACTTTCCACTAAAAAAGTTATGAGATACTTAGCACGAGGAACTTAGAAGTACTCTGTGAATCAGACCTGGTTCCTGCTCTGAGAGCTTTGATGGATCTCAAAGAGCAATAGGCTTGAAATCAAGAAACAGTTTTTCCAACCTTAGTCAATTGATGTAGAGGTACCAACAGTTACTGGATGGCCCACTTAGAAAAATACCTAAATACCTAAACTAAGTCCATTCAAAGACTTGAAATAATACTGTCAACTAAAATGAAGACAACTTCTGACTATTACTGCAAAAGGCTAATAACTTTATATTATAGGTCAATTTAAGTGTAATAATTAAACCAATTAATTTATTGAAATGTGCATAACTTTTCCGCGTGTATAGGACTCCTCAGTAGAAAAAAACCTTTCAAAATCCATAATCCACATTTTGCTAAGCTACGTCCATATTCACTTAGTCTTGCCTTGGTCTGACATGGTGTATTCCCAGAGCTATCACAGCCTGGCAGCATAAACTTTAGGCAGGATCCAACAATAAATCTAACAACATCAGAAGATTGTAATTCCTTGCTTTGATGGTAAGTCATTTATCTTTGGCCAGTGAAATATGTGTGTAATTACCATGAAACGGGATAAAACCTGTTTCAGTTATGTGGCATCACCATTGAGCCTCATAAAAGGAAATGAAGACGTCAATTAATTATATTTTCATGAAAAAGCTAATAGCAACACTGTTTCCAAACCTTGCAGGTGGCTCCATAGAAAGAACCCAACTTTTTTTTTTATTTACTATCAGCATTAGTGGTATCAGAGGCAGCACAACACCATGTATGAAGACACCTGCAGATGTACTAGTAAATTAGAAAGTGTCATTAAAGAAATGAAAGGCACTATATTGTACTCACCAGGATTTACAAGGCTTGTCTTTGTTTCCTTCTTAGATCGACTTGGCTGTGGGTTCCCTTCGCTTGTTGTCCCTGGACTGAATATTTTCCTGCAGAAGTCTCCATCACTACCAGTGCAAAAACTGATAGGACTGTTCCCAGCATCAGAAGGAGTCTTCACCGGAGATACTGACTGGCTACTGGGACAGCCAGTGTCATCTGAAGGGAAAACATCAACATTTCTAACTAGTAAGTACGTGAATGTTAACAGAAAATGAAACAAACAAAAAAAAAAGTGTTTGCACTACAACTGTTTGCAGCCATTTAACTGATATGTACAACCTTGTTTCTGAAACCTGGTGAGAAGCTATTTGCTTCTCCCATTTTGTGAAGAAGTCATTAATACCTTATGGCAGAAAGTCTGACAAGATACAAAATCAGGGGCTACATAATAAAAACTCAGATCTAAGATAAATTCTGTTGATGTAGCTAGGTTAGGGAGTATTCTGAAATAAGGAAATGCACATAAGACACAAGAATTGCTTGTGTAGTGTACACTGGATGAAGAGCTAACATGGCCCATGGAGGCCATGGACTCTCCTTCAAAATCTGTTCCTGTGTGAGCAAGAGGACAACCTAGAGTTCATATGCACAAAGTCAGGATTTGAATTTAACTGGAATTAATAAATGTTTCTCAAAACTGTTTTTCCTCTTAAAGCTATTGTGATCACAGAGCTCTTCCTTCTTGACAAGTGGCTGTGAGGCACCTAGTTCTGAAGAGGGTGTGTTATACACAGACTGCTTTTAAGACTAAATTCCTCAGGGCATGGTCTGTGGTATCAGCAGCCACCTGAAGAACAGGCCCGCGTTCCTGACCTCCAGGAATAAAAACCCTCCAGCTCTTAACAATAAAATGCAAAGTAGGAAGTCTGAGTCCAGATGAAATCCACATATCAAACACCCCCTTCATCTAATCACATCTCCTGTAATCATGGCTCCCCTAAAAGTCATGGTGGTTTTAGAGATACACAACAAAAACAGGCTACTCTGACACAAGGAAGCCTTGAATATTTACTCCCCTGGAGAAACTAATTGTTCTTTCCCAGTACAAAATGAAAGCTGCCATCTTAATTATGCAAATGTACCCTGCTCTCAGTGCAGTCTCTTTACCTAACATGAAACTCAAAGAAGTACCAGCAACTGAGCCAAAAGATTTGCATGACCATACTGCACTTATCACTTCCACCCTGTTCATAATTCAGGTCAAGCCTGGTCTTGCAATGAGCTCTGCATGAACAGATTGCTCAAAAAGTCAGTATATGACTGCACATTTATGAGACAAAAGGGATACCCTGTAACTACCTAACTCCCTCCCTGCCCACCTCTCCTCCTCAGGGAAAAGCAGCTGTTAACTACTGTTCCCTCAGTACAGTAAAACCAGTTTTCCTGGCCAGATATTTGCTCCGATGTTCTGCTTCTTACTTCTCCGCATTCTGCCTCCAATACTGAGCAAGGTACCTGTAGGTGTTGACAACTCAATTCATGTTTTATGCCTTAGCACGTATCAGCAGCCAGCAGTCTGAGATGTTGCTGTCTAGGCCCCTGCAAAGTGCCAGCCATGATGCCAAGCTGCGGGGCAGCCTTGCCTACTGCCAGGATTATCTCCCAAGGCACAAAGGGCAGTAATACTGAAAAGCACCTAATACAACTTCGTTGTATTTCATTCCTTCACATCAGCTCAATTAAACCTACGAGCATCTCCTTTTGCCATCTTGCTGCTGCCTTCAGAACTGGTCCCTAGGAAAATGAAAGAGAAGATGGCTAATAAGGTTTTCAGCCCATCCCCACATTCTTCCTGACTAAAGCAGGATTGCTGTCCACATGATTTTAGTTTACTTTTTATCCTTTCCATCCCCATCAACATCACTGTATAAATGAATACAAAGAAAAGAGAAGGCAGCAGTTTCCTCCCAGATCGGCACCCATTTCCTTTTTTCAAGGGTTCAGTCTTTTGCAGGCTGAATGAATGCCACCTACAGCGCAATGGATCAGCATGCTGAGTGAGCTTCTGAACTGCATTTAAGCAGTTCCTTTAGCTTTGTCCAACTCATCTGCTCTTCAGAAGCGCACAAACATTTATAATTATAAATATATTCTGAAAAGTGAAGCTTCATGCAGTTTATTTTTAATTGTGACCATTCCATTTAGCTATGTGGCATTATTTTCAAAACTTTGCATTAAAAAAACCCCAACCCAAACTGTTTACTTCATCTCTCCACCAGTAAAACCACTGCAATACCTGCACAGGTTGTGCAGCCCTCATAGATGTGTTTTATATGGGAGGCTTTATATAAAAATAACACCCAAAGCTAGATATACTACCTGGAAGAGCATCAGGAGCTGATAAAACCTTTAAACAACAAAAGAACTAAACTTCAGTGCTAAGAATTAGGGCAATAAAAACCTTAAATACTTAAAGCTCACTGCAATAAGGAAATGAGGTAGCTAAAGAAAGCATACAAAATAGCATTAAAATTTAAGTAGTTTAATTACCATACTACCACCATTACCTCTGATATCACACTATTGACACTATGATCACATATGTTATGTCTATGCATTCTCATTTTACCCTTAAGGACATCAGTTTTCATTGCAATGGGGCATTTATTAAAGGAAGAAATGAGCCTGGCACAAAGAAGAATAACCCTTCTCTACTTATACACCCTGTGATCTTTAAATACACCAATAAGCAGGTGAGCATTCCCTCTCCAAATGAAGAAAGTAGTGATTTTATTGTACTCCCTCTCCTCTGATAGTTTGTTGTATTTTCTGTGTAATGTGTAACTTCTACTCCTTTGACCTAGTATTAGACAGAAACGGAAACAAAATTAGAACTGTCCAAATCTAGGCCAAGATGCAGACAGTTTTCTGTGCCAGAGCGTTTACTACCACAGACAGGACCAGCTGCATGTAAGTGCTGGTGCTCCCCACCAAAGGCAAGCAAAGCTCGGCTATAGTCTGGGGCATCCACCTCCCATCTGACCTGCAACCCACCATTCTGGCACAAAGAAAAAGACCTGAGGTGGTATCCAGCAGCTCAGTGACAGCCAAATTGCCTGCACTTACCTTCATTCTTTTCTGCTACCAAAGCCTTAACAGGCTACTTAATTGCATTTAACACTGTAGGTGAACTCCCCACAGGAGAGCAACAAAGTTCCTTATGGACCCTAACCACACACCAAACTGAGGCTCCCTCTGCCCTGCAGACAGCCTGGCCATACATTATGCTCACTGCAGCAGTGAACAACTTTGCTGCTCATCCGCAAGTGGAAGGGTGCAGTGTGGTTTCAGTACTACCCACAGACCTGCAGGCTCCTCCAAAACCCTACTGACAACTCTGATGGAAGGAGGTGAGGACCTCCACCTGCCCAGAAATGGGCAGAGATAATGGATCTATCTCCAAAGGAGGAAGGTAATAGGAGCAGATAAGCCCACAATGGTACTCACTTTCTGCTGATACGAATATATAAAGACAGGATAGCAATGTAGTTTTCAGCAAGGTCAGTTATGGATTCAGTCCTATTACTTGGCAAGACTTTTGCCCCAGTAAGGATTTCAGGTCTAGACTCCCCGGGAATACAGAGAAACCTTATTTACCTTCTCAGGCACAGGAGCATCAGGAAGACAGAAGAGAGAAAACTGGCAAATACTGCTGTGAAAGTATTTCACAGCACAAGATCACTTCTGATATTGCCTATATTATTTAGTTGCACAAGAGGGAAAAAAAAATTATAACAAGACTTTCATTGTTTACTTAGCAATATTCAGTGTCTTTTTTCACAGTGGCCTCCTCAGAGTGCTCTGGGAGTACTTTCTCTTTGAACATCAGCTGGATTTCATCACTGAAACTCCATGTCCAACCCTTTTCCCAGATCAGGCATGCCTGCCAAGTTTCAAAGCCAAGCATGGGATATAGTGTCTTCTCTAACAAACAATCAGGGAGGTTGCTCAGAGTACTCTGACATTTGCATGCACTAACTTTCAAATAGTAAAGTCAAAGTATAAACAGCAGCATTAAAGATAATAACACTCTACCAACTGACAAAAATAGTGTTCTAGACTTTGAGGCCATACATTGTGACGTGATTTTCTCTGGTTTTCTGGGCACTTTAGGAGTTAGAAATTTCACTGGAATATGCCTTAGAACCTTCTTTAGAAAAACGCTGCCTTTTCCTAAAGGTTTCAAGGGATACTGAATATATAACCACCTTATGTAATACACCAAATAATTAATGATGCTGTCTCTGAGGAGCCACTGACTTAGTTCTACTTTCACTCCTAGCTGCCAGATCTAGTTATGCACTTTTATGAGTCTGCTGTTCATCCCCTATTTATCTTCGCTTCACCGTCCCACTTTCATCTCCTCTTAAAGTTCCCTTGACCAATGTTCAGGCTGTATGTATTTTGAATTTCCACTAAGAAATGTGGATCCTAGAATTAAACATGGGCCTCTAATGAAGGCCCATGAGTGAGTAAATACGCAGTGTACCAGGGCAAAAATAGTCTTCTGACTTCTACCTGACTCCCCTTCAATTCATCCCAGGATCTGTTAGTCTGGGTGACTATGGCTCTGCAAGCATGGCACACTGTGAGCTGGCTGTTGATGGTAAGGGTACCACTAAGGGTATTTCAGAATTTTTTTTGGTTAATCTCCCAATCTGTTTGTCTGCTTAACATTTTTTGACACCCTACATGCTTTTCTTTTATCTTTTTGCCACAGGGGTGTTTTATGCATTAATGAGAGTTGCTGACAGACACCAAAGGGACTGTATCACCTAACTTCCACCTGTAAAGTTCATTCTGTATTAACTGGAGAGAAAGAGGCTCCTCTGGAGGAGGAGAGTCTAATTCAGGCTTACTCATCCCACTACTCTGAGTCACTGTCTGGAGGATCTCGTCTCTCTCCTACAAACACTCTTCTGACTGGCATTTGAACCAGTGTTGGTGTAAAGGCTCACTATCCAGTCAGACAACAGTGCTAAGAGGGCACTCAGAGCATCATTCTGGAACACCTGGACAACATGGTAAAAGCAGTAGGATAAAACATAGTAGTATAAAATGAGTAGTACATACAGAAAGACAGAGGTGGGACATATTCAGATCAACACCCTGAGGCTCTCAACAGGTAGGAGTCTAACACCTGTCTCATCACAATA